GTCCCTGTTGCCACCTGTCCCAGGAACCCTTCAGTGCCAGTAGTTCCCTTGACTCACTCTTTGTGCTCGAAGCCTGGTGACATCCACTTGTTTTGGTCTGCATTTCCCTGTTACTGTGGTGTGGAACAGCTTCTCTTCAGCTTCTTTCATCCTTGCATCTTTTCACTGGGCAGTTCCATGTTCAATTTGGGGCGTGTTTCTAACTAGGCTGGTCCCTTCTTGCTGAGCATTGAAAAGTTCATTGTCTGCTTCAGATACAGTCCTGCACGAGATGGATCTTTTGCAAATATTTTCACTTAGCCTGTGACTTCTCTCTTATTTTTCTATTTATAAATTCTTTCCAAGAATTTCCCTTCTGATGCTTGTATGCCTGGGTTTCACAAAGTAGAAGTTTTACCTGGCAAAAGTGTTATAAGAACACTGGATTGTAAGTTGGAAGACAGACATACCAGCTGCCTAATCTTTTTTTTTTTTTTTTTGGTTTTTACGAGACAGGGTTTCTCTGTATTGTTTTGGAGGCTATTGGTCCAGCCCGGCCTCGAACTCACAGAGATCCGCCTGCCTCTGCCTCCCAAGTGCTGGGATTAAAGGCGTGCGCCACCACCGCCCGGCCCCCAGCTGCCTAATCTTGAAGAAACTACTTAACCTCTCTCTTCAGTTTCCATTAATAGAGAAAGAGCTAATATTTCCCCTCTGGACAGATGGCCCAGTCAGTAAAGCACTTGCCAAACAAACATGAGGACAATTTCCAGAACTCATCTTTAAAAAAAGCTTTTAAAAAAAAAAGCATGGCAGTGTATTCTTGTAATCCCAGCACTGGAGAGGACTCTCAGGTCACTCTAGCCAGCTAGCCTTGCCTGCTTCGTGAATTCTGGGCCAGTAAGAGATGCTGTCTCGAAAGATAATGTAGATGGTGTCTGGGGAACAATATCCTGGGTTGTCTTCTGCCTCTCCAAGCATGCACACATATGGAAGATATACACACCTGTGTGCACGCGTGCATGCACGCTCGTGCACATGCATGCGCGCTCATACACACACACATCAGGGAGGGAGGGAGGGAGGGAGGGTGGGTGAGAGAGAGGATGAGAGGAGGGAGGAGAGATATCTGCATTGACTCTCATTAATTTTATTATGAAGATTAAAACCAGTGTAGGAGAGCAGGACATGATAGCTCATACCTAAAATTTTAATATTCCCAGGAGGATTGCCATATAGTGAGACTCTGTCCTTTGAAAAAAATGGGTGAATTTAGTCCATACATGTGAAGTTTTAAGGAATTATTATTTCATGAGTTAGCTTTTCCCATTGCTTCCTCCTCACCTCCAGGGTTACACATTTCAGTCTACCCTAGAGAATTACTTTCTTATGCACCTGAGTGGAAGACACTCACTGCAGAGTGAGTCAGCCTCTGAATTCACAGGATAGCAGGAAGGAAGCTGCTTCTAAACTCTCAGTTATTCCTAGAAAAATAGAGCAGAGCAAATGCTCACGCTGTACTCTTCAGAGTGTGAATTATACACCCCACAATGTCATTATCGCTTGCATCTGTAGCCAACAGCTACACCTTCAAGTTATATATCTATCAAATTTTCATTTTAATAGTGATGACTCATAATGAGTGGGTGTCCTCATTCTTCCATTCATTAAACTATACACTTGCCGCCTGCGCATATAGGCTGCCAATTCCAAGCTCACATTCCCCTCAACCAGTCTGTAGTACCCCCTCCATCTAATATTTGTTCATGCACACACACACACACACACACACACACACACACACACACACACACACGAGAACAAGTTTCCCCCTGCGCATTGCCAGAGCAGATGTTGTGGAAGGGCTCCCAAGTCGCAGAGGTTCTGCACATTCTTGCCCTCTGATGTATCTCTGCCTTCTACTGGTCCACACTTCCTCCTCCGGACAGGGAAGCTATGCTGGGAGAGACCAAATGCCCTCTTCATTTCAGCTCTTTTCAGGATGGCAGAACAAACTGTCAACATCCGTGCATAGGTTTCTCTCTTTCTGAAGGAGTGGACTTGAAAGATACCACGTGATCCGGATCTTCAGCTTAGGGTATAACTAAAGAAACAGAGCCAGAAAACAAAACAGAAACCAAAGGGGAGATGTTCTATAGGACCCAGAAGGCGATATTCTGGCCTCCTCTGTTCTCTGTGTACCCCCATTCCTACACTTTCTTTTGCCTTGGTTCCTAGTGCTGCCCTGTTGGCCTACTTAGTCATTCATCTCTCTTCCTGTGTGAATACAGCAAGAGTTTGAATTTTCTTTGTAATGAAGTTTACTTGTCCCTCACTGGTCCTGTGCCACATCCCTGCCAACTGGCAAGGTCACTCTGGCCCTTTCCTTTCCACACTGGATGCTCAAACAGGATAATGGTCTCAACTGTTTGCTCCAAACTCTGTGCCCTCTTCCAACACAGTGCCCCCTGAGAACACTCCTCCCTCTCCACTTTCCTCTTAGAGCTCTTTCCTCCCTCTTCATCTTCCTCTTAGATCTCCTTCTCTTCCCTCCTTCCTTCCCCTCCATTCCCCTCCCTTCCCTTTCCCTTTTTTTCTCTTCTTCCTTCCTTCACTCAACCATGCTCCTCCTTCCTCATAACAAAATGCTGTCTTACCTTGACCACACACTTAGGGGAATGCCACCTCTCAGAGAGATCCGTACAACTCACATCTATCCTAAAGCGTCTCTCCAGCTTCCCACTGCATGGCAGACTACAAGCAGAGTAGCTGCTGAGTTATCACAAGTGGACTAGAGGAAGGTGGTCCAATAGGAGCACCTTTGGGCTGAGATCCTTTTCTCTACTCCTCCCTTCCCCTCTCCTCCTTTTCTTTTCTGTTCTTCCCCTCTGTCCCTTCTCTCCAAACTATAGAGATGTTATTAAATTATAGAAACAGTCTGGAGTATATAATTTATGACATTACTTTTCCTTCTTCTAAAGAGAACATCATAATATTCTTTTACTGAAATAAACCTCCTCCCATTACAAATGGTGGGTGATATGCTTGCCTGTTTAAAACAAACAAACAAAAAGGATTTCCATAAAACCCTGAAGAATTCCCTCCCAACAATTTCATTGTGGAATTGTTGTGCCCTCTTGTGTGAGCAAGAGTGTCTGGAAAGAAGCTGTGTCCACAAAGACCCAGGGACTGATCAGAGCTTCAGTGATGTGGGAACGGTCGAATGTTGTAGGTTCCAACTTAATCATACTTTATCTTGGCCTAGCAACCACCCAAAAGCTAAGAATGTCATCAACTAGCATCCTCGGCAATGGGAGAGATTCCCCCATCTTGTTGTAACTGCCTCTCTGATGCCTCCACCAATGTATTTTTAAAACCCCTTGACTAATAACTGGTTTTTTCAAACTCTTAAGAAACTGCTTCCATGTGGGAATGTGGAAACTGAAGTAATCTAGCTCCGTGTTTTCTGGGCTTTGGTCATTCAAATTTGGCTTCAGAATAATCTTTTTTCCCTGTGAGACAGAGCTGTGTTTTGAGTCAACAGTTGTGTGAATTGCTCCAATTACCCTGAGACTAAGACACCAATGAGTCTTCAGTTCTACACTTTACAGCTGTGAATATTCAACTATACTGGTAAGAAATGTTTTGTCTTTGATGACTAGGTTGATGAGCAAAAGTTCCTTTTAAAAATGTTACTTTTCTACCAGAAGAAATGAAAACAAGAGAGAGAGAGAGAGAGAGAGAGAGAGAGAGAGAGAGAGAGAGAGCCTTCCTTCTGTTGTAGCAATCCAATGAAAGCAGGATTACCTTTCAAAATTCAAATTGCACATTGAGACCTCTGACAAAAATCATGTAAGGACACTCACTTAGAATAAAATATGATTGTTGTTTGTGATACAAGGAGGGTCTTTTTCCTACCAAATCACATTTTATTCCCAAGAAGAAACTATAACCAGTCAAATAACAACTAAAATTCGAATACAATCAGGTCATATTCAAACCAACAGCCAGGAGCTTGGGAAAGAAAGAGAAATGAAAGCAAAATCTTCAGACACATATAAGAGAAATTCTGATGTCCAGTTATTGCATAGAATAGGATATGGGTCTGCTCAGTGCAGTACTTCCAAACAACGCAAGTGCCCATAATTAAACTGTGGGGACTTACAATCACGCCCCATGAGTGCTGCTCCAGGGGCTCCTTGGCAGTGGGCTTATGCTGTTTGTTACCCAGTGCTTGATTTCTTTTCCACAGTCCAACATAGAACATTCCCATCCATATTGCATCTGCTGTTCTCTAAGCCCCTCCCTTGGAGCCGACCACTCTGTTTCCATAGTAACTACTGAGGTAGCAAGAGAGGAAAAAGAAAAACAGAAGAAAAAGACTAAACCTGGGTATTTGGAGCACAAAACATTCTCTACCAAGAACTTTTGTTTGTGCTTTCCTGTGAGGAAGAATACTTTTCAGAGTGACATTTGCATCCATGTAGTAACTTCGTCTCTGGTCAGTGCTTCCATAGTCATGATTGTGCAAACAAATGACATCAAGGCAGTGCCCCCATCCTGAGCCCCTCTACTCCCCATTCATTCTTCCCATGTAAATAGTGATGCAGGAAAAAAATGACCTCAAACTGGAGCGAGGAGCTTTGCAGCAGTCATTCCCTAACCAGTTAATCTGCTTACTGATGCATAGCATGCTCTCCATTTGATACATCGTTTGAGACTTCAGGTAAGTACATACGATAAGGCAACTTCAGTCACCCATGACAACTTTCCCTGTTTGAAAGGATGCTCTCACCTAGTTCTAGAGCTAACTTCTTTCTCTAACTTGTGAGAGCAAAAGTCCCTTGCTGGGAGTAAAAGGATCCCCTGGGGATTCCAAAGGTGTTTACTCCCAACATCAGGCTCCTGTGGCATCCTTATTTACAAGCGGAGTTCTTCCTCCCGAAGTTAGAGGATTTGGAAATCTGACCTCATAGGCTGGGTGGTGGCAGTGTGAGGGAGGTAGATCAGGTTCGCTCCCTTTTCGGTCTGAAAATTCGAAAGCAGTGGGGAAGAAATGCTGGACCTATCACAGAGATGCTAACAGACAGCCTATTACAGTATTTAATAAAAACAGAAGCAGCATGCCTGTCATAGGCTAATAAATCCTCCCTCCTGCACGCTTTTAAAAACAGTCTGAACGGGCTTCCACAGAGCTTCAGAGAACTAATCTTAAGCATGGCTGTCTAGAGTGCCCGTCACTCCTATTGTCCTTCGAAACTCTTGCAGACATTTTGAGCGAGGAGTATTAAAGCCATGAGTTAGCGAGGGTGTGACATCAATGGTCCACAAAGGCTGCCAGCACGAAGGGTAAAGATGAGTACCGGCGGCTGTGTGGAGGACTGTACGGGATCGCTGTCATTAAAAATTAAGCTTGTCTTTTGAGGAAGATGTGACAACTACCGGAGGTAGGATTTGCATGTAAAACAAAGGGATCTGTTGCTGTTTGGTGCTTTTTGTTGCTTGGTCGGCGCTGGGGTGCTGTGTGGGTCAGGGATTGCAACCAGGTGCGACGGAGAGGCTGGGTCGGCTTGGGGCTCTACGTTGACCAAAACACAAAACACAGTGGGCAGTGTGAGGTTTTATGGCTGGAAAGCCTCGCAGATAGACTGGCTCCCGGCTGGCTTGCAGCCTGCTGAGTGTGCACTCCACGTTGCTTGCCGTGGAGTAGAAGGCTTAGAGGTCATGGAGAAAACAGTTCGTTTCTTACCAGTGGTGCCAGATAGACTGGGGATGGGGCAACTGAAAGAAGACTTTGATGGGAGGGAGCCAGAGAGATCCAAGAAAAATAGAGGAGGAAGCCTTGCTGAACTTGAAACCTGTTAGGTAAATATTTTATTCCTGTAGTCAGTGTGTTTTGGTGGTCAGAGGGTAATTCGGAGATAGTGATGGATTTCCCCCCATAATCCACTACAAGAGAAAACTGGTTACCTCCGTCCATCTTGCATATTGAAAGGCTGATCCACACCATTCTGCTCCTATTAATGGCTTTGCTAAAAACAGACCTGGAGTTTGAGACTAAAGAAGGGGCTTTCTCTCTTGCCTTTCAGTTACTGCTGGACTGCAGACGGAAATGGGGGTTTGTTAGAGGTTAAGGGCTTGACCTCTTATTTTGCTGTTGAACAGCATGAAGCATAATTCTCCTTGAAGATGAGAGGGGTAGTTGTGTTCCACAGTCGGGGAGGAGGGGGTGATGAGTAGATTTGGCAAGGAACTACATATACTTCAGATGGGATCTGTGAGGCTCTACCAGACACGGACCCGCAGGAACCACCCGCTGAGATTTCAGAGGCAAAAGTACAATGATCCAAAACCAATGTTTCCGCAATTTGATCTGTGGTGCCAGTTTTGTTCTGTCATTGCATGTGACCCTGAGTATGAAGTGTCAGGGACAAAGTGAGCGCGTTCCTCTGTGCTGGTGTGTCCCTTCCCTGTGGACTTCACAAACTCCAAGCTATAAAGATAAAGCTTTCCATTTGGAAAAACAAACAAACAAAAACTCTGTGTTTCAACTCACGCATTTAGCTATAATGAACAGTAAAGAAGCTTCAAATATTCGCATTTATAAATAATGTAACACTGGTCTATAGCATCTGTATAATGCAGTATAAGTTAAAAATAAGTGTTAAGGACAATTACAGTATGTTAGTTTTCAACTAAATATAAATACTAGAAATAAGATTATGTGGGATTCCTGTGTTTTGAGCCCCTGTATACACACTGTCATTTACACACAAACTCAAGATCATTTTCCCATGATTGAGACACCTCTAGGCTTGAAGTTATATGTCTGTTATCATAGCAGAATGATGGACAATATCGAGCCAGCTATCCAGTCCTGCCTGCTATTTAAGTGACCTGGGGCACATGGCTGTGAATTACTGGATTTACAAATGGCTAAGACATAGCTTACGGGTTCTTTGTGGCTAGTGGAGAGCATGACCTTGACCTTGTGAAGTCCCCATCTCTAGCTAGTTGAGGTCTCCGGTGAAGAATCTACACCTAGAAAAAGACAAAGCTCAGACTTCACAAACACAAATTATGTCACAGAAGTTAGCAAGCGGGGTGCTACTGTTTTCTTTGAATTTTAAGAAGACTTTTCCTGGCTCCAGTCTAACCAATTTTACCTGAATTTGATCGTATCAAGTATTTCTTTGAGGGGCAATTTATGCCATGAAAACAACAGTTGAGGGATGATTTTATTGTAGTCATGCTCTAATACTTCACTGATAACTGAAATTATCCCCACACTATTCACAGATTTTGTAGGGAAAGCCCTTACATGAAAACTGGCTGGTGTGTGTCAATCTGGATGAAAATGAAAACCAGGAGGAAACAGGATGACTTGGGTTTTATTTTTGTCAGCTATGAGGAAAGATGAGCTGAGTAATTCGGTCAATCTACTTTGTGTGACAGATGAACTTCATCGCCCATTTACGTTGGTAGGTACCAAGCAGAGCCTCTCCCCCATCACCTCCCTTTCAGCTTCTGCTCCACCTAGTAATGAAAAGCAAAGCCTCCTCTGGCTACAGGAAGTGAGCCAGGCACCCAGCTGATATAAAAAGTAAACGAGACATCTGTCAGTCTTGTTGTCTCAGTCCTCCCTCCCGGCAGCAAACCACCATCTCAGTCATCAAGGGACCAAGAACCCACAGTAGTTCTTTCTTTTCAGCCCCGCTGGCCTGCACCTGGTCGACACAAGCAGCCGTCACTCTGCTTGTATCTCCTAGACGCGGCCTTTCTCACACGGACACTACCTTCTCTTCCAGAGTCTCTCTCTTTTTTTGAAATATAACAAAAATCTTTCCCCTCCAAATCTCTGCTATAGGATCAAGTAGAAAAGTAAACCACTATAATATATACTAATTACAAGAGCATATGTGCAATTGAACAATATAGTTCAGCTCGCAATATAGACATGCATATATCCCTAATTTTAAGAAAACATGTGTATATGAAAAAAGTAGAAAAAAAAAGTACACTAAAACACCAGCAGCCAGTTTTCTCAGTATGGTGTTCATACTTTCATACTTACTAAGATGTTTTGTGGGAAGTGTGATCCTAATAGTCACAAGGCATGTGTCAGAAAGCCCGACCATACCTCCTTTTCTATCCATGCTTCCGGTTTTGCCTCTTAGCTTACTTCACAGCACCAACTATGTCTTCATCTAAAATTCCAGAGTTATTTGTTTGTGCAAGCAAGACAGAGCAGGTGAAGTTTCTCTGCCAAGGCTCCCTGGGTTGTTTTATTTTCCTTCAATACACTTTGAGGAGCTCAACATTATCCTCTGTCAAATACTGACTCCCTTGTCTTATCTAGAGAGGAAATGTATGTGTGTAAAATTTCTATTTATTTTTAAAGTTTTAAGATTATTTTTAAATATGTGTATATTTCTGTATGTCTGTATGTGGGCATGTGGCGTGAGTACCAGGACCCATAGAGAGCAGAGGCATGGGACTCCCTCGCAGCTGGAGAGACAGACAGCTGTGAATTTCTTGAAGTGAATTCTGGGAAAGCAGTCCTGGCAGGTCCTCCCTAAGAGTAGCAAGTATCCAACCACTGATCTATTGCTCCAGGTCCGTTTAGTTATTTTTTAAATGGAGACCATTTTTCAATTCTTTCCCTCATTCTCTGCTAAATCTTAAAATGTTGGAGTGTTCCATGGATCAACTGTAAATCTCTTCTTTATCTATATTTAACCTCCAAACATGTCAAATCCTGTCTGGAACCCTTTAAGGCTATCTATATGCACACAGTTCGCAAATTCTCAGCTCTAACCTAGACTCCCTACTGACGTATCTGATTTCCTACAGACGAGTTTCCTAACCATCTTATCACCATCTCACTCCTCCTCTGTTCTAAATCAGGTGTCTGGATTTCCACCAGAGACCCTCCTTCCCAGAGTCACTGGTGACTCCATTGTTTTACTTTCTCATAAGAAAACCCTGAAGACTTCAAATCCCCCATTCCCTCACAAGCCATAGTGCCTATACTCATTGTCCCTAGTTTCAATAGAGACCTAATACCATCAACTGTTCATTCCGTTGCCTTTCACATAATTAGTGGATTTTTTTCCACAGTTGCTCTCTTCCTCTGCTTCTTCTTCTCCCATTCAATTCTGTCTCCCAAACCAGTGTTGTATCAAAATTGAAGTTAAACAGTATCTCTCGTTCAATAACCTCTTTCCTCTACTTACCCATCTGCCTTCAGGTTACAGTAAAAATCTTGCAGGGTCTGTGAGTCCAGCTCTTCCCTCACCGCTTCCCATGCACTGTAGTCATGCTGGCTGCAGTGTGAGTCCCCAAAGCCACCCACATTCAGATCTTACAGTCTTTGCCTCTACCATGCCCTCTCCCTAGAAACTCCTTCTTGATTCTGAGCCTCACTGTTTCAGGTATCTTTTTTTTTTTTTTTTTTTTTTTGGTTTTACGAGACAGGGTTTCTCTGTTTTGGAGGCTGTCGGTCCAGCCTGGCCTCGAACTCACAGAGATCCGCCTGCCTCTGCCTCCTGAGTGCTGGGATTAAAGGAGTGCGCCACCAACGCCCGGCCAGGTATCTGTTAAAAGCTCTCTTCTGGAGTAGGCATTCTGTAAGCAGTGGTCACATGGTTGAACACTTCGCCCAGTGTAGGAATTGAATGTTTTTCTTCATTAAAATCCATTGTAATGTTATATCTCAAGCATTCATTGTTTTCAACCCCGGGGCCTAAACTCTGTGCCTTAGTACCCTGTTGCTTTTCACAGAGAGATACCAAATACAAGTCAAGGAGATTTACTAAGAGGATTTTCTTCCTTTGATCTGCATAGTAGGGGAACACGTTCCTGATTCCAATCTGTGACAAAAGTAATATAAATTCAATTTTTCTGAATTTGATCTTATCCAAATGTTCAAAAGAACACTACACATCTCCTACAAGTGAATACGGGTGCAAAATGCCACATCTTTCCTCTGCCTTCCTGTGTTGATCCTGGAAAGAATAGTGAAGACATTTTAGAAGGTTCTAGTGGAGTCTAGGACACTGGGAATCAAACAGTTGTAACCAACATCTGTGCTATAATGTCACATTATTCCCTGCCACGAGGTCTGTTTAACAGTGGTGTTCTACTACACACGAAGCACATGTTTTCAAATAACTACATTACAGCACATGACTTTGTTGTCCAAAGTATGTAGAAGAGACTGTGTCCACTATTTCTCCAGTGTTTTAAAGTCTGGGGAGGTGATATGCTAGAGACACAGTACCCAAGAACAGAAGGTTCTTTTCTTTTTCTTTCATAGTGCTATTCAAAGTTTTACTTCCTAATGAGCCTCAATTTCCTCATGGTATTTGGTGATAAAAATGCTTACATCTGAATTGAAGTTTAAAGACGATTAAGTATGCCCCCTGCCCCACCAGAAGGCCTGGAGCAGAGAACTTTAAGAAATGTTTCTGTTACTGTTGCATTCGAGTGCCACACCGTGCCCCAGCTGTATACATGGCACTTCCCATTGAACAGATTCAGCAAACTGAGGCCAAAGGGCTCGAAAGCTGTCGCACTTACTCTCCTTTCATCTGTGTAGCTTCCCAGTAACTAGATGAGGTTAACCACCTTTAATGTAACAAGTGACTAAAGACTGTCATGATTAGAGAGGTTTCTATAGAACTTAAGAACAAGTTTCCCCTTCTATGAACAGTATTTCTTTCCTAGGCGAAAAGCACACTCCAATTTTGAGGAGGCAGTTTAAATGGGCACAGATGTGCAAACTCAGCATGATGGAACAGTAGAAATCGGCTTTGCCATTGTGAACACCGTACTGTGAATCCCAGCTCTGCCTGTTGTCTGCTGTCCAGTTTGCTGAGCCTCTGTCTGCTCAGCGGAAATGCAGACAGCATCAGTGCAGAATTCATGTGGCCGTGATGATTATGTGTTAAGACAGTGCCTGGTAAAGATAAAACGCGTAGTACATATTACTGATTGTGATCTGATATGAAATCACGAACATTAATTATACATGTAAAATATACAGAAGAATTTTGTTTAAAAGAGTATCCCATATATCCTTTTAATCCCAGCACCCAAGAAGCAGAGGCAGGTAGAACTTACTCTAAGTCGGAAGCCATCCCATTCTGCCTATCAGTTTCTAGGCCAACCAGGGCTACACAGTGAGACTCTTCTGTATCAAAAAGAAAAGGGGAAGAAAGAAAGAAAGAAAGAAAGGAAGGAAGGAAGGAAGGAAGGAAGGAAGGAAGGAAAGAAGGAAGGAAGAAAGAAAGAAAGGAAGAAAGAAAGAAAGGAAGGAAAGAAAAGAGAAAAGAAAAAGCATAGAACAAGAACAGCAAAGCTTTTATGGCTCTCACTTTGTTATGATTTTGGTCACACATTTTTTATGTTGTAGCTTGAACTTGGGGCTTCGTGCACACTAGGCAAATACCCCCTCCCCTTCTCTCACAAAGCCACATTCGCAGAAGTGTTTCTTCTCTGCTGCTGCATGCCTCCATGTCCATTCAGTAGGCAGCATGTGAGTCATTAGCATCGAGGTAATACACAGGAGTTCACGGCTGTGAAGTGTCCCACCAGGTCCAGAGGCAGATTCTGTTGAAGTGTGTGTGACATTTGTTCGTTTCTTATTAGGCCCCAAAGAAAGAAGCAGCCATGAAGAAAAAACAGGACAAAGGTCTGTCTCTCTGAGATGCCAAACTCAATTTTATAAACTCAACTACCTAAGACAGAACTACAGCCAAGTATCCTAAGCTCTGGCTTCAATGTTTCTGGGGTCTTTGCTCTGTTTGTGGCTACAGTGGCTGGCCCCTAAGGAGAAGTCCTGATGGAGGCACTATGACACAACATGATGTCACATGACATGATGTCATCCATTACACCATGTAAGTTCAGGGCACAGCATACATGCAGTTGGCAGGTGGCCTCACCAGTTATCACAGGTTTAGCGAGTGTGTTTTGTTTAAACGGTTGAGAAACTCTCCAAGGCTGAGGTCTATCAGAGGGAAACACTCGCCCTCTCTAGTCAACAGTGATTTCTGTCCTGCACTATGCCATCCAATTCTGAACTCTGAAGCTTCGTCTTAAAGCTAATACTTTGGGGATGCTTCCTTTAATGTTTCTTAAACCCACCTTTGTAAGAACAATCAGTTCCAACTGTATAATCCCAAGCTACAGATACACTGTTGTAAGAATTTCATGGAATCTTACAAGTTGGTATTTAAAAGGTCTTTACAAGGCAGTCCTTTCATCCCCAGAATACGTTTATGTATGGCATCATGCTGTGGGATTTGGTTCAGGATTCTCCCAGCTTCCTCAGCCATCAGGACTTAGAAGCACTCTGGGAAGCATTCACATGTTTCCTGAATGAATCCATGGTTGTTAGTCTATACTTGATGTCTCTGTGCCAGGTTGGACTTAAGGACAGATGAATGTCATACCACGGCAATAGATTCCTGAGTGGCATAGTCTTATGAATGAGCCTGGACCTGCAACCTCTCATCTGCTTGTCTTCTTGTCTGTTCTGTTTACATTACCAGACCATGGCAAGTGCATCCCCCAAGCTGGCTCCCTCTGCCTTCCTCCCTGCTATTGGTCCATGGTTGCTGGCTACCTTTATCTTTGTAAAGCACGTGGCGGATCTTGCCTTCAAAGCTGACTTCAAGGCAAACAGTTCACACAGCAAATACCTTAGTCCCTTACTCGTCAAAGCCAGGGCAACAGTGGAGCTTAGAAGAGAGTTTCAGTGCAGGATGAGGAATGTGAACACTTCATTATAGAAGATGGTTGTGATGCCAGGCAAGTAGACCATGGTTTAAATGGGCTGGCATGTGTACAACGTAGGGGAAATGTCAGATGCACCCATGTAGATTCCCTGACACCCTTGTGTTCTTCTTGAGTGGGAAGCAAAGCCTCAGATGGTTTTGGACCTGAAACCTCATGTTTAGTTTGTATCCCCTTTGGTGAAATGGGTTGAGAGGAATAGTTAAACTCATAATGAAACGTGTAATTAAAAAGTTAAGGAATACTTTTGTCTCTTTATCTTTGCCTGCGAGTTCATGTCTGTCACTGTGAAGAAACGCATACAGCCGTCTACTTGAGACCAGAGGAGTGCTTTGGGTGTTGGTCCTTGCCTTCTGCTTCCTTTGAGACAAGGTGTCTTGTTTGCTCCTGAGTGAGCCAGGGTGGCTGGCCTGGGAGTTTCTGGAGCTTGTGTTGTCTCTGCCTCCTGTGTCACAGTGGAGAGCTACTATTATAAACACACATGACTGGGGCAGGGTTCATATGGATTCTGGTCATCTGAATTTAGATCCTGATACGTGAATGGGATCACTGTGCCAAGCCTAAAACGAAGCTTTTAATCCAACAATTAAGGTAAAAAATTATTGAGAGCTAGTACACTGCTTTATAAACTCCCAGGTGAAGAGAACTGCATTAAGAATATATATATACTTACACATATATGTGTGTATATATTTGTGTATACATATATACGGATATATATTACTTTAAGATGTCTTTAAAATAACATGATCAATATACTCATTCCTCTTCACCTTCTTCCCTGAGTTAAACTATAAAGAAAACAGATAAATGTTTTATCGGTATTTACGAGGCAACGTGTGCAGCCAGGGATTTGGGATTCTACAAACCACATAAATCTTAATTCCACAGAATCCCCTTTGTGTGCTATGGAGTAAACAGGGCTCATCTGAAGGAGAAAGGAAAGAGAAGTTTGCAATGTCTGGTGATGCGGTGATGCCTGCTTGTTGCTAGACCATAAGACTCCAGGCATCTTAGTGATTGGGAATCATTAGCAAAACCAATCCACACCAGCATCTTTTTTAATTATGTATGTTTGTGTGTCTGTTGGTAGGGGTCCAGAGGTGTCAGGTCCCCAGAGGTCCCACTGATTGTGAGCTCCCTGACATGGGCTGGGTGCTCTGCTTGTGCTTTTAACTGCTGAGCCATCTCTCCACTCTCTACATAAGACTCTTTCAAAAAGAGGGCTGAATTTGGAAAATCTTCAAAATAATGCCCTTCAACACTGTGTGTCTGGGAATTTCAGTGAGTTCGGAGATGTAGATCAGAATGTTTCACTTCTCTTTTCATTCAGCTTTTCCCTGAAAAGCTGAGAAAGGTCAAGTGACAGACTCTTAAATTCTTATGCTGGAAGTGAAGTGTCCTTCCTAGTGAAACTCTTAGGAAGTTAAAAGTAGCAATTCTACCGCAAACATGGACTCTTGCTTGGCTTCCCATGAGAGGTTCACTCTGCGCATGCCAGGGAGGGCAGTTCATGGAGAGTGATTACTTAAGAGGTCGTACTTAGCATTCTGAGCTGGTTTTGAATAGGCACCTGAAGACTTCACACCATGTGAAGAACCAGGCAGGGCTGGGGAGGAAGCTCAGCTGGTAAAGTGAACTCCGCCATGCAAGCATGCGGACCCGTGTGAAAACAAGCTGGACAGAGCTGTGTGGGCTTGCCACCCCAGTGCCACGGAAGTGGAGACAGGCAGGGGCCACCTGACCACGCAGCCAGACCTACTCACTGAGTTCCAGGTAAAAGTGACAACTGGTCTCAAAAAACAAGGTCCTGAGGAATGACGTCAGAGGTTGTCTGGCCTGGGCACACAGATGTACCGCCTCCCACCCCCCACCACCCCCCCGCCCCTCCGAATGTGTCAGAGGCAAACCACAGTCAGGCTTCCTGAGGGGCTCTGCTTCTGGCCTTTGCGTGATTTTCATCTCCTGGTATATTCCAAATGAAGCAATCAGAAGAAGAAAAAAAGAAATCAGAACAGTACTCTGAAAGGAAAAAATTTGAGGCAGAATTCTAAAAGGATTAGTGTATTTCCTCCCTCCCTGTGAGAATGACTGATGATCGGTTTAACTTTGCTTCCTAGTGATTTATTTGATCCTGTATGCTGCTTGGGAACAGTCTGCGAGGCCGTGTTTAGACAACTCAAGGTAACTATTTGCTTTTAAGATGTAAAAATAGAGCAGAAGAGGAGCCACTTCCCTGCTGGAATGAATCCAGAGAGCAGCTGAGAGGCTGCATCTGAACCAGAGAGAGTTGCGATAGCATATTACTAAAAGTGAGGAAGCATTTGAAATACAGAACCATAGGCCTGTATATGAAATAGCCATAGGCCTGGTGCACAGCAAGCTGGCCAGAGAAAACCCATCGTAATAACCCACTTCTCCATCACCCGCTCTGCCTCTCCAGTGAGCGGATTTAGACTCTGCTGAACTGAAACTGACAAAGTCTAATATGAAGAAAGCAGATGTGCTCTCTTTTGTCCGCCCATTGAGAAAGCTGTCTTGTGTGTAATTTTGATTTCAGACCCATGATGCTGCTGAGTGTGGCCACTAGAAGGAGAATTTCCCATCAGGCTGTGAATGTGCCCAGGTGCCCACATCAGTTTTTAGACTGTTCTCCATCCTGTTAAAGCTTTACTTTATAGGCCTCATTCGTTTAGTCATCTGCATTTCTTGTCAATTCCACTACGGACGAGGCAGTGGACAATCACTAGGACTGCTAGGAAGGCAATCTCCCCCTACCGTGTTGGAGTTCATAGCCATGGAGGAGGCATAAGCAAATACGCCATTACACTTGAAGAAGCTCGTGGCGGGGGGTTCTAATTGGAGACATTAATATAGTTAAGATGTCAGAGAGAACTTTTTCTGAGAATGGAGATACTAAATAATAGAAACGTGTAAAAGTGAAAAGAAAGAACATGTGAGAAAACAGCAGGGGTTAGGGAAGACATTCTCCAATAGGTTTCTCTGTCTGTCTGTCTGTCTGTGTATGGGGGGAGCAAAAACAGCAGACTGAGACAGAGGAGACAGAAATCAGAAATGACAGGGATGGGTGTTGGAAGGCAGAGGCAGTACATCAGAATTTCTTGCATGTATGAAGGTTTTGTTACAATGAAAGACAGTAAAATTAATAAACTGAAGAAAAGGAAGTCAGTGACAGAGAGGAAGCAGAGACTGAGTCTGCGCAGAGGGCTGTGCGGTTCACAGGCAGGGACGGAGAGTAGAGCGGAGCCAGGTCAGACAGAACCTCATTGCACCCATTATGCTAATCGTGATGGAAAGCCACACAAAGCACTAAGCAGGGATACAATGTTTGGGATGGGCAAAGGAATGTCCACCACTGTGGAGCCAAAAGGAAAAGGAGTATTTGATGCCAGCTAGAAGGGCTATGTGTCAGTCCAGGTGGGATATAGCAGAGAGGCCAGAACCGGGTGAGGTCTTCACATTACAGATCTGGCAATGAACTAAATCTGGGCTGGGAGGGGCATGAGAAAGCAGGAGGAGGTGAATGATAACAGATCTCAGGCTTGAGAGGGTTCAAGTTTACAGAACACAAGAGCAGGACTAATTTCCTTTCACATAAAAGATTTGAAATTGTAATCTCCACTCACTGTCTCATTGTGCTGTCTCCCTCCTGATTTAGTTGTCTCTTTAACTACTGCTGACTCCCAAACCATCTCTCCAGATGCAACCTTGGCGTCTAACTCAAGTCCTGAAGTGACCGCTCCCTAGTAGACATTTCCTTACGACAACCATCTTTTGACCTCATAACAGCTGGCTCAACTAAGCCTTGTCTACCCTATCTCTTGCTTCTATCCCTGTCTCACCAAAGTCCTAGACTTCAAAGCCAGTAGTTGTCTTTAAGACCTCTTTCAACCATGGACCTGACTGTCCTGAGCTCTATGAATTAATTCTTCTCTCAAATTATCTTTTGGTTGTCTGTCTTTTCTTCCCCACACAAATAATATCCTTGCTCTCACGCCCCAGTAACTAACCTCCTCCTCCCCTCATCTGATATTTTTCAAATCACAGTTGTTGAGTAATATGTTCAAGAATGATTTGAAAAACTGAAAAAAATCATCTGGGTGGTGGTGGCACATGCCCTTAATCTTGGCACTCAGGAGACAGAGGCAGGTGGATCACTGTAAGTTCAAGACCATCCTGGTCTACAGAGCAAGTGCCAGGACAGACTCCAAAGCTTCACAGAGAAGCTTCACCCTGTCACAAACAAATAAACAAAAACATTCATTCATGTATCCAATACTGAACCACAATCTTTTGATTATCTTGTAAAGCTTTTTAAAAGAGGTTATCACATATAAATTTCTAGAAAAGTAATTCCAGTCTCTACATGTCCCATTCTTTTCTTCATAGCTTTCCCAAATAGTTTCAAAGTGCAACTCTGGTGGTGAACGTTCCATGAGCACCGACTTAGGCTCCTCCGTAACCCAGCAAATAAAGTCTCACAGACTGGGTTCCAGAACCTTTAATTCCTAGTGTTCAGACAAAGTTCAAACCTAATCCATATTCCCCCTTCTCATCACCCCCACACACATTACCTCCCTTCTACCCACCCCATCAAACACATCTGTTGTATACTCATGCCTCTCCCATTCATCCTCATAGATTTAAAACATCAAGGGAATTTGACCTGTTTGAGCCTACCCAGTCTCCAGTGGTCCTCTTGGACAACACTGGTCTCATTTTTCTTCTCTATCCATTCTTTTCCCTGTTGGGTAGTAGGGTTCTCTACAATTTTAAGTTCTTTCTGCATGATCCATCTTTTGGTACCTAATTTATCACTTGCTTATGTTTAAATGTGTTGCCTTTTTCTACTTATTCATCAAAGATAGAAAATTACATTCTATAAAATGAAAGACTGATGGAAAGTTGATTTTGTTGCCAAATCAATCTAATGTGCGTCTTTGAACAAATAATTTATCTTCTGTTAGTTAGGACAGTATCACAGAATTTTGGACAATATGAGTTGAAGTGTCTGATAAAGACACATAAAGTAACCAATATTTAATGATTTTCCTCGGTAAACTTCATCATTTAATTGTATCAAGTAAACCTCTATTTTAGTGTACTTTCCTTCAAAACATTGCATTTAAACTGGGTGCGTTATTTGAGGGCAACATCAGTCCCTTGCACACTGAGCATGTATCCAAATGTTACCAGAGTATCAACTATTGGCTGGAAGAAACAGAAGAGTGAAAATTTGAAAGTGGAGAGAGAGGAAACAGCATGGACATGAGCCTAGCCTGCATTAACCCACCTATCTGCTCATCCTTGAATGTTCCCTTTCCTTTAATGCAGGCAAGCAAACAGCAAGTTTAAAAATGCTCAAAGGCAAGCTGTTTTCTAAGGCAAGTTTCTTTTTAAATAAAGGTCTCAGGAAATGGCAGCACCCTCTGTAGTCTCTCACCTGCTGTCTGGGACCCCCACCCCTGCGCACCACCTTACCTGGACTGTATATCATCCACCACATTGTACTCCCTAGCTGTGATACACACACACACACACCCCTGCACACCACCTTACCTGGACTGTACATCATTCCCCACATTGTACTCCCTAGCTGTGACACACACACACATCCCTGCACCACCTTACCTGGACTGTACATAAACCACCACACTGCACTCCCTAGCTGTGACACACGCACACACACACACACACACACACACACACACACACACCTGCACACCACCTTACCTTGACTGTACATCATTCCCCACATTGTGCTCAGGCTTGGTTTCTCGTCTCTCAAAGCACATCTACAATGCAACTTCAAAGAATAAGCACCTTTTGGTCACCTCCGGCTATTTTTCTTACCTCCTGTGCTCTATAAAAGAACAGCAAAAACCCAAACAATTAACCCCAAGGAAGGTCTTGACGTAAGAAGGGCAGTGTTGTACTGATGATGGAGGTAACTGAGCCAAGAGGGAGCCCATGATGTTTTCATGGTCTTACTTCAAGGCTTGAGGCTTTATCAGCCCACGGTCAAAGCTCAAACTTCGCTTGCTAAAAATGGCTTCCTCCACTGAGGCATTATTTGAAAGAGGGTGCCCAGGGATTTCGGGCACTCACAAGGTGCATTGGGACACAGTGAATTGAGAAGGGAGCAATGGCATGAGTAGGTCCACGGTGCATTGGACATTTTCATACAAAAAGAAAGGCTACAAACAGAAGCTGAGATATTGGCAATACGCTTCGAGGAGCCTTAGTACGGGCAGGGTGCAGACTCCTTTAGTCACTTACATGTCATTCAAGGCACTGCTTATGTCAGCTGTGCAAAATGGGGTCATTTCTGTCACAAAAGTGTCGTGTAAGCTAAGGAAATTACCTGTGCAAAGAGGCTGAACAGTGTAGATCACGGTTGTCTGTTATTGTGAGGGGTTAACTGTCATGTCCAGGGTTACAGAGTTCAAAGATGAAGGGCTTTGGGATTTGAAAGTTGGGGTTTTAATGGTTCAGTGGCCAAGCTGGGGATGCTTTTCCAGGAAATTGTTAAAAGCCGAAATGACATTAAAGCATGGGGCAGCTGCCGGTGTGGAGGCAGACTTTCCTTTCAAAGAAACAGTCTCCCCAAGGAAAGAGTGAGGGTAATTGACCGAAGGCCAATGAGGACACGGAAGGGGTTCAGAATTTCCCTCAAAAGGCTGGCTGTGGGGCTGGAGAGACAGTGCAGCAGCTAAGAGGGTTTCTGTTGCAAGAGGGAGCAAACCAGTTTTCCTTTAAATCCATTTAACTCCAGCTCTGAAATCTGAGAGATCTGATGTCTTCTCTGGGCCTGCAGGCCTGCGCGTGCGCGTGTGTGCACACACACAGACAGACAGACAAACACACACACACACACACACACACACACACACACACACACAGAGGGGAGCAAACCAGTTTTCCTTTAAATCCATTTAACTCCAGCTCTGAAATCTGAGAGATCTGATGTCTTCTCTGGGCCTGCAGGCCTGCGCATGTGCATGTGCGAGCGTGCACACACACACACACACACCACACCACACACACATACACATACACACACACACACACACACAGAGAGAGAGAGAGAGAGAGACGGGTTAAATAAATCTTTAAAAGAAACGTCTTAAAAAGGTTGGTTGTGAGACCTCTTAGTAGTTGGT